CAGGTAGCTCCCAAGAGGCTTCAAACATGGCTCAAGACGCCTCCAGGAGCACCCCCAAAAGGGTCCCAACAGGCCAAAAGGATCTTGGCCTTCTTGTCTTTTCGGCTTTCCGACGCTCCAATAGGGCCCAGTGCGCCTCCAGGTCCGCTCCCAAACAGCCCTAGGCGGGCCCAGAGAGCCCCATGGAGCCCGCAAGACGGGCCCGACGCAACCCAAGAGTTCCTCTGCAGGATAGAGGGGGGAAGACCGGGGGAGCCTCTGGCGCCCCATGCTCCGGGAACGCTCCTCCGGAACATGGCGTGCGAACATGAGCGGCATGGTCGCCGTCTTCGTGGTAAGTGCGCTTCCAGAACACGTGGCTTGCAGTGCACGCCGCCGTCTTCGTGGTAAGAATCGTCGCGGGCATCGCACCTGAGCGGTGACCTCAACTCGAACCTGAGCGAGCGCGAAGCGCGCGATACTTCTAGTACATTTATTTATTTATTTATTTTTTTATATACGTATATATATATATATATATATATATATATATATATATATATGAGTAGGCCAGGGGGGGGCCCAAATCGGTGCCGTCATTCCCCATGGGGGCCCTCCCGAACCTTCGGGGGGTCACAGACCCCCCGGGACTGCCCCAGGCCGCTTCCAAATTGCCCACGACAGGCCACGCGGGCCGTACAGATGGTCACGAAAGCCTGAAGAGGCCCCGAAGACGCCCAAGAGCGCCCCAAGAGGGCCCGTGAGGGCCCCAAGAGGGCCTTCAAGAGTCGTCTTCGCAGTGCCCCAGACGCCCCCGCGGCGCCCCAATATAGCCCAAGAGGGACCCAAGAGGGCCCCAGACGGCCTGAAAGGGTCGGCCTGTGGGGTTCACGGAACCCCCCAAGACGGTCCAAGAGGCCCCGAAGCCGGCCCAGGAGGCCCCCAAGACGGCCTCAGGGAGGCCCAAGAGGGCCCCGTTCGAAATCATGTTCCCAGAAGCCTCTCCGGGAACATTACTTCTGGGCTCCCAGGGCCCCCTACTGAGCCCCAGGACAGCTTCAGCGAGGCCCCAGAGGGCCCGAGATGGCTTGAAGATGGCCGACGAGGGCCCCAAGAGGGCTTTCAAGAGGGACAAATCGGCACATTTCTTTTTTTAAAACGTGCATTTTCGGCATACTCGCTGGCTTCGTCTTCACAGTGCCCCAGACGCCCCCGCGGAGCCCCAACACAGCGCAAGAGAGACCCAAGAGGGCCCAAGACGGCCCCAAAGGGTCGGCCTGTGCGGCTCATGGAACCCCCCAAGACGGCCCAAGAGGCCCCGAAGCCGGCCCAGGTGGCCCCCAAGACGGCCTCAGGGAGGCCCAAGAGGGCCCCGTTCGAAATCACGTTCCCAGAAGCCTCTCCGGGAACATTACTTCCGGCCTCCCAGGGCCCCTTCGAGTGCCCCAGGACGGCCCCAACAGGGCCCTCAGAGGACACTGGAAAAGGTCGGAGGGCCACAGTTGCTCATTTGCGCGACATGTTGTTCCGTCTCTTCCGCACGGAGGAGACGGAGAGGGCGAAGGAGGAGGATGAGACGGAAGAGGAAGAGGAGAAGGAGGAGGAGGCGGGGAGGAGGAGGACGAGGAGGGGAGGAGGAGTGGGGGGGAGGGCTCCAGTGCGATCGACGATCGGCGACGGTGGTCGGCGACGGTGATTGACGATGACGACGACGGTCGTCGACGGCGACGGTCGACGACGACGACGACGATCGATGACGACGACACCAGTTGCCGCCGCCGATCGGCAAACGACGACGATGGCCACGACCACGGCGACGGCCGAGCCACTTTGGGCTCAGGGCTCAGGTCGGCAGGTGCAGGGTTTCTCCGAAGGGCTTCGAGCAGTGGCGAGGCGTCCCGGCTTGCCTTTGAGCGCACCCAGGATGCTCGAAGAGCCCATTGTAGTTTGCACGGCATGTTCTCAGAACAGATTTTCGGGGGCAGCGATAGGGGGGCATAATTCAGGGGGACGCATCGGCCCCCAGGCACCCAAAGACAGCCCCCAGAGGCCCCGGACACGCCGAAGATGGCCTCAGGACGGCCGACGACGCCGCCAAAACGCCCCAAAGCCGAAAATTGTAAATTTCCCAATGGTTTTTGAAGCATTTTTGCGCTCTCCCATGTTCCACCTCCCCACGGTCCCGGACCGCGTCAGAGGCCCTTCAGATCGCTCCAAGACGGCCGAAGAGGCTCCCAAGAAAGCCCAGAGACGGCCCAGGAGGCTCCCCAGCTAAGTCAAGAGGGCCTCGAGAGCGCCCCTCAAGAGCGACCCAAGGGGGCCCGAAGAGCGCGACTTTGCAAGGTCTCCGGCCTGAGAGGCTCCTAGGACGCCCCCGGAGGCCATCAAGAGACTCCCAAGAAGCCCCGTGAGGCTCCAAAGAAGCCCCCCAGAAGCCCAAATAGGCCCCCCAGGGCCCCCCAGGGAAGCCCCCTGCGGGCCCCCAAGACACTTCGGTAAATCGTATTTCCCAGATAGCTTTCCGGGAACAGGATTCTTCCGCCCACCGCCCCAACCGTATTTTCAATAGGCTTGCCGGCAAGGCCAAAAGGCGCCTCTCGGTAAGCCCCCAGAGGCCCCCCTCCTAAGAGAGCCGAACAAATATTATGCTCCTGGAGAGCTTCCCGGGAACATGATTCTCTATCTCGGAGTAGGCCCGAGAGGGGGGTGGTCGGGCCGCTGCCTGTTCCCCCCATCGATGCCACCGGGGGTTGCGGGGGGGGGGGTCCAGAGCTCCCGAGGCGGCCCGAGCCCGCCCCGAAGCAGGCCACGACAGGCCAAGGGGGTCCCGAGAGGGCCCAAGACGGTCCCACGAGGCCCCAAAGACGCCCAAGATGCCCTCAAGACAGCCGACGAGGGCTCCAACACGCTCCACGACGGATTCAAGAGGCTCCCCAAGAAGGCCCCGAGTGTTTCGGATTTTGGCGTTCTCGCTGTTCCCGCTTTCCAGCGCTCCCTCACGGCCTCGGAGGCCCTTCAGATCGCTCCAAGAAGGCCCACGAGGCCCGCACGAGGGCCCCAAGGCGGCCCAGGATGCTCCCCAGACAACCCAAGTGTGCCCCAAGAGCGCGCCAAGAGAAGGCCCAGAGGGGTCCCGAGGCGGCCCGGGCCCGCCCCGAAGCAGGCCACGACAGGCTAATGGAGGTCCCGAGAGGGCCCTAGACGGTCCCAAGAGGTCCCGAAGCCGACGAGGACTCCAACACGCTCCAGGACGGACTCCAGAGGCTCTCCAAGAGGGCCATGGGAGGCAAGATTCGCTAATTTCCCGATGGTTTTTGAAGGATTTAGGCGTTCTCGCTTTCCCCGCTTCCCAGCGCTCCCTCACGGCCTCGCTCGGAGGCCCTTCAGATCGCTCCAAGACGGGCCACGAGGCCCCGACGAGGGCCCCAAGACGGCCTCCTGGCCCCAGACAACCCAAGTGTGCCCCGAGAGCTCCCCAAGAGAGGGCCCAGAGGGGGACCGCCAACCGATATTTCGAGGTCTCTGGCCCTAGGCCGCCTGTAGGCCCCTGGAGGCCACCAAGAGGCTCCCACGAAGCCCCGTGAGGCGCCCAAGAGGCCCCCAGGAAGCCCCAAGAGACCCCCAAGGGGCTCCCAGGGAAAGCTCAAGAGGCCCCCCAACACACCCCAAGAAATCATGTCCCCAGAAAACCTTCCAAGGACATGGTTCATCATGTGTCCGAGAGTTCCCGGAGGCCCCCAAGGGATCCCCAGGGAACGCCCAAGATACCCCCCAACACACCCCAACAAATCATATCCCCAGAAGGCTTTCCGGGGACATGGCTCATCATGGGCCCGCGAGTCTCCGCAGGCTTCGAAGTACCATCATGCTACAGGAGAGCTGTCTGCGAAGTTGATTGGGAACATGACTGATCGCCTTCCCGCGGCCCTCCACAGATCGTTTCGCACAAAGTTGCCCCAAGTGCCCTCTTGAATCGACGACGACGACGAAACGACGGAGACGACGACGACGACGACGACGACGACGACGACGACGACGACGACGACGACGACGACGACGACGACGACGACGACGACGACGACATTACGACGACGACGACGACATTACGACGACGACGACGACGACGACGACGACGACGACGACGACGACGACGACGACGACGACGACGACGACGACGACGACGACGACGACGGCACGCACTAACAGGCTTCCAAAGACGCCCCCAAACCCGTGCTCCCAGAAGGCCTTCTGGGAACCCGATTCATACGGCCTCCGCCCCTCTACACAATCATCTTCCTCGAAGGCCTTTTCGGAATGCAGATTGGACTGCGTGTATTGTGGTCCACTACTTCAGTGGAGCAGTGAATTCGTCAAGGCCTGGCGCCTGTTAGAACCATCGCGCGCGCGAAGCGCGCGCGATGAAGAGAGAGAGAGAGAGAGATAATACATATATATATATATATAAAGAGAGAGAGAGAGAGAGAGAGAGAGAGAGAGAGAGAGAGAGAGAGAGAGAGAGACGAGAAACCATAACAGCAAAAAGGAGAGAGAGAGAGAGAGAGAGAGAGAAACAGAGATGGCACACCAGACCTCCATGGTGACCATCTTTCAGGAAGCCGTCACGGACGGTGGGGGCGTTCCTTGAGGAATGTGCCCAGGAGGCTTCAGTCCCTGGAGGACTCCTTATCTGATGAGGGCGACGGTAATATCCATTGCCGAACCTCCATTGACATTCCACCGGCCTTCAGGCCCTGAACTCCTTTGTCCAAGTGTTCCTCATCCAGTGTCCTCACTGTAGTTGAACTAGTGAACGAACAAAGCCAAATGCACCAGGGGAAGGAAACAACATACACATGCGTATAACAAAACGAAGCAACTGAGCTACAGGTAAAACGCTCCACGCAGCTCATGACAGTGTGAGCGAGCACTTCGGATTACGAGTCCTGAGGTGCTGACGACCTCTTCCCATGCCCTCGCCGTGCCTGCACACCGCGCCTGCCGAGACAGCCCGTGCCTCGCAGCCTGCTGGCCCTGCCAAGGGGGCTCCGCGGATTCTGGCGCCCGAGGGCTCCGAGGTGAGCGGCAAGGACCAGCGGCGCGCGCACCGCGCGGGGGTTGGCGCGCGGGTGGGGGGGCGGTCCTCGAGGAAGGCGCGTGGCCTCCAGGGGTGACAGTGAGGGGTGGGGAGACTCGGGGGGTGCGCTCGAGGCTCGAGGTGTTCTGCGCTCTCGTCGGTTCTCGTCGGCTTCCCAGCCTCGGGATGCCTTGCAGCGGCTGCGCCGCGGCGGGAGCGTTCCGGGGGTGCCCTGATTGTCCTGAACGGCCGCCCGAGACCGGAGTTGTGACCCGAAAGCCAGGTGTGAGCGTTCGGGGGGGGATCGGCTCGGGAGAGGGTGCATCGATCACCAATCGCCCATTCATCGCCGATGCGGGCCCGATAGCCCCGCCACGCCCGGGAGCGTGGGGATTCGACATCGGGGGCGGCGAGGCATTTCCGATTCCGGGTCGATGGCTCCTCCCCTGAGTCCCCCCCGATCGTTGCCCCGAAAACGCGACAGGAGATGGGATGCGGCCATGAAGAATCAGACTGATTCTATATATATATATATATATATATATGTGTGTGTGTGTCGCCCCCCCAGGGGCGACGCGCGCGCCGAGACATCTCATAGTATATGCTCGGTGGCGGGCGCTTTCTGGCCACGCCGCTCGGGAAACCGGTATATACGACAAGATGGCTCGCGCCGATGATGGTCCAATTCTCCACCACCACTTACCAGAAGTTGGACGGGGGAGAAGGGAAGAGGGGGAGGAGGGGAGGTCCTCCTCCTCCTCCTGCTTCTCCTTCTACTCCTTTCCTCCTCCTCCTCCTCTTCCTGCTGCTCCTCCTCCTCCTCCTCCTCCTCCTCCTCCTCCTCCTCCTCCGCCGTATCGGCTTGTCTTACCTCGAGGGCACACTGTCAGGGCTGCCCATCGCGGCAGGCAAGGAGAGGAGGAACCGGCTCAATTTTTCAGCGCCAGTTGCTTGGCATTTTGCACTGCTGCATGTGGCATTTCTGCGCCCGTTGCATTGGAGGTGGTGACCAGGCGCGGGGATTGTGCATGTGGTTGAGAGGTGGGACAATGAGGTCCGTAAATCCCATTGGGCCTTGTGTCCACTCACCCTGGGGAACAAACCCACTTGCACATGCCACTTGATTCGGCAGGGTTGGCTATGGTTTCCTGGTCGAGGAACCTGTAGTAATGGTGAAGGCTCAGGGGCCCAGCCACCCTACGCACCACGCCGTCTCGGGTGACCAGGTCACGGGCGACGAGGTCTCCTCCCTGTTCCTTGTCTGCGTCGATGGAAAACAACTTCGTCTTAGTAGTGCCTCCAGTGCCTGCTGCTCCTCCTCCTTTTCTTCTTCTTCTTCTTCTTCTTCTTCTCCTCCTCCTCCTCCTCCTCCTCCTCCTCCTCCTCCTTTCGTCCTCCCGCACCGACCAGCTCAGTGAAGCCCGTGAAGGCACGCCTCCCCCTCCGTTTTTCTTCTTTTCCTTATCGGATCGTCTCTCCCGTTTCCCCCTCTCCTTTGCATGTGACTGTTGGTGTGATGACGCTCCCAGTGCCAGGGCGGCGCTGCAGTTTGGCCCAGGCTTGCATGCGGGGTTTGGCTCCCCCGGGCGGGACCGCCCTCCCTTTTGCTCTAGGGGGCCCGTTCTTTTTATTCAGCCTTTCGGTTTCATTTGAAATGCACGTTCAACCTTCCTGGCTTCTGGTTGTCATGCTGCTTTTCCACATTTCTGGCCTTCTGGTTGTCATGCTTCTAGTGATTTCTGCCATTGCTGGCTTTCGTCCACTTGTAAGATGGGGATGCATCTTATTGCAATGTGCTGGGCTTCTGCCCGCCGGCTGTGTATGTGTGTGGTGTTGGTATTTAGTTGGACGTTCGGTCCTCTGGGAGAGCCCACATATCGCCTCTGATTATTCACACTGGTTACTTATTTTCCTCCTCCTCTTCCTCCTCCTCTTCTTCTGGCTCTCCTCCTCCTTCTCTGCGGCTCTGTATCGAAACGTTGGCCTGCACTTCGGCGTTCAAAGCCCCTTAGACGTGATGCTGACTTCTCGTAGCTTGTTGTCTTGATTAAAGCCCCCTCGAGGGGATGCGGATTGCTTGGGGATGAGCTTCTTATGCGTGGGAAGAAATCCTCCTCCTTTCCTCCCCCTCCTCCTTTCCTCTTCCTTTTCTCCTCCTTTCCTCCTGGCGATTGCAAACATGGATCAGGGGGGCGTGGATTAGCGACGGTTTCCGCCGCCGAGCGGCGCGGAACCTGAGGTTTTCCTCGCGTGCCTCCCTCCCTCTGAGGTTATCCTCGCGTGCCTCCCCTCCCTCCTCCCCTTCCCCCCCAAGGGTGCATGGGGACATAGTTGCCCCGCCCCTGGGGTTGTCTGCTTGTCGCGTGTTCTCTATGTCTCTACATATAAGAAAGAGCATGATCCAGTACCGCCTTACTGTTGAAAAGTCTACCCCCTCTACCTTTCCTCTGGGACCTGGGGTTCCCCCCCCGAAAATCCCCCCCCCTCCCCCTGCTCGAACCCTCCCCCTCCCCTCCCCGCTTCCCCGACAACCCCCCCCCAACCCCTCCCCCCCCCCTTCTCCGGAAAACCGGGGGGGGGGTCACTACCGGTTCGAGCCCCCTTTCCCCCCCCCTTCAGAAAACCGGGGGGTGGTCACTACAGAAAACCGGGGGGTGGTCACTACCGGTTCGAACCCCCTCCCCCCCGCCTCCAGAACCGGGGGGGGTCATTAATGGTTCGAACCCCCCCCCATTCGCCGCTGGCAAAAGACTCCCGGGTCCCCACCACCGTCCTCACCACCGCCCTCACAATTGTCCCCAACACCACTGTCCCCACCACCTAACCCACTGTCACCACCAATGCCCTCACCAACGCCGCACTGTCCCCACTGTCCCCACCACGGTCCCACTGTCCCAACTGTCACCACCACTGTCCCACTGTCCCCAGACCCCACCACGGTCCCACTGTCCCCACTATCCCCCCGCTGTCCTGTTAAGCTGTTCCACTGTTCCCACCACTGTCCCCACTGTCCCCACCACTCTCCCCACCCTTGTCCCACTGTTCCCACTGTCCCTACCACTGTCCCACTGTGCCCACCGTCCCCACCGCTGTCCTACTGTGCTGCCACACTGTCCACACTGTCCCCACCACTGTCCCAGTGTCCCCACTGTCCCCACTGCCCCTATCACTCTCCCCACTGTACCACAGTCCCACCACCATCCTAACCACCGCCCTCACCACACTCCCCACCACCACCGTCCCCGCAACTGTTCCACTGCTGTCCCCACCACCACCGTCCCCGCCACTGTCCAACTGTCCCCATTGTCCCCGCCACTGTCCCAATGTCCCCAGTCCCCACCACTGTCCCCACTGTCCCCGCCAGTGCCCCCCACCGTCGCACTGCCCCCACTGTTCCCACCACTGTCCCCACCACGGTCCCACTCTTCCCACTGTCCCCACTCCCCACCACCATCCCCACCACCGTCCCAACCACTGTCCCCACCAGTCCCCCATTCGGAGTGGGAGAGCAGGGGGAGTCGTTGCGGCGAGGGTGGATGCGGGGGGGTTCGAACTGGTAGTGACGCCCCCCGTTTTCCAGGAGGGGGAAGGGGGGAGGGGTTCGAACCAGCAGTAACCCTCTCCCTTTTCATGATGGACCGGGGGGGGGGGAGCGGGGGGTTGGAACCCCCAGTGACCCCGCCCGGTTTTCGAGAGGGGGCGGGACGGGTTGGAACCCCCCAGTGAACCCGTTTGGTTTTCTGCCAGCAACGGTAGAGCACGCTCTTTCACATATAACCATCCCCCCCCAAAGGCCCAGTTATGCCTGTGTCGGATGGACCCCATATCCACCAGCACCCAGTACCCAAGAGGAGGAGGAGGAGGAGGAGGAGGAGGAGGAGGAGGAGGCGGAGGAGGAGGAGGAGGAGGAGGAGGAGGAGAGGAGGAGGAGGAGGAGAGGAGGAGGAGGAGGAGGAGGAGGAGGAGGAGGAGGGGGAGGAAGGGGAAGGAAGAGGGGGGGGATGGAGGAGGATGAGGATGATGACGAGGAGGAGGAGAAGGAGGAGGAGGAGAAGGAGGAGGAGTAGGGGAGGGAGGAGGAGGAGGAGGAGGAGGAGGAGGAGGGAGGAGGAGGAGCAGGAGGAGGAGGAGGAGGAGGACCCAGGTTTGTGACCCTTGAGTTGCCTGCTGGGGCTTCTGGAGGGTTCCGGATACCTCCAAAGGAAGAGGAGGAGGGGGCGCCCCGCTGGGTTTTCATTTTTCCGATATATATATATATATGTATGCACATATCTATATAAAGATAAATAAGCACATCTATACATATATATATATATATATATATGTACATTCCGCTTCAATTTCATGAGGGAGTGGCCGTGCCGAAGCCCGAAAGGAATTCTGGATTCCACGCAAACCGGGACTCACTAGCACACCCTTTCGGCCTAGAGTTGTTCGAAATGGTGGAAACGGGGGGAACTGCCATGCAAGTGAACGTGTCAGAATCTAAATCAAATAGGCAGCCCCTCATTAACCCTCCCGGCGTCCAAGAAGACTCCTTAGAACCCCTCCCTGCCCTGCCGAGAGGGTTCCTGCCTTCCCAGAGGGCCGCCCCGACAATCGCGCCCCCCCTGGTGCTCGCGCCGCTAACGAGGAAGTCAAGCGAGCGAAGGTTGCCGGCGAGTGGACCGCTGGCGTCATCTGCGGGCCCATGGAGATGGGCTGGCCTGGCGACGCTTCGCAGGCGATAGTGCTGGGCGACTCCTCCAAGGTGGGCGACCCAGCTCCGGCGGCGCCCGGGGGAGGCGCCGCAGGCGAGGAGGGCGGCGACGAGTCGGAGGACGACGCGCCGCAGAGGCCTTCGCCCAAGAAGGCCGGGGCCAAGAAGAAGGCCATCGCAGGGCACGAGACGAGCGGAGCACACTCCATGGGAGGCAGAGGTTCCGATGCCGCTGCTCGTCCCGGAGGGCCCTCGGCCACTCGGCGGGGTCCTCCTCGAAGCCATGGTCAGAACGCACCTCGGGAGGGGTCTGGGGAGCAGCCGTACAGTCGGGGCCCTGAAGAAGGAACCCTTTTGGTTGGGAAGGGGCTCCGCGTTCCTTAAGTGTTTCACAGCTTGCCTCAGATGTTTCGATCGGAAATCGAAGTTTAACTTATGGAGAAAAGGGGCCTCGTTCCTTATTTAGGGTTCCTTAGGTCAAGGCCTCGACTGTATGCATTGGCACCTTTCTGTTCTCCCACCTGCTCTTTCGGCGGTCCGCGCGGAGCTCTCTGGTCGGCGCCCGCGGCGCCCCCGGCGCCGCCACCCCGCGGCCAGGGGAGGGGGGCCCCCGCGCTCTCTCCGACCCCGGAGCTCCGCGCGGACCCCCGAGGGCGTTGGTGCTCGTGCCGTGTCTCAGCGCTCTCCAGGCCAGTGCCTTCGCTGCCCTCGACTCTGGCGACTCCGACGGGGAGTCTGCCAGCGACGGGTCGGACGACGACAGAGGAAAGAAGAGCAAGGACAAGAAGGGCAAGAAGTAGGCGCCGAGCGATCTGCGAGGCGGAGCTGCCGCGTGCGGAGCTCGCGTGAGCCTTGCCGGTGCCGCACACTGAGGATCGGAGTTTGGCGTGCCTCTGCGCCGTCTGCACCGAGATCGGAGCTCGGCAGCGGAGCTTGCACCCGTGCGTCGGAGGGCACCCACTTCACAGCTACACCGATCCAAGGTTTTAAGTCGGGCCTGACCCTCCACAGGGGGAATATTCAAAAATAGTCAAAAATAGTATGGGGACTATTTCCCAACCCTCCTTGGTTGGGTATTCGTTTTGAATAGAGCAGTGTGGTCGCGTCCTTCCTCCTCCCGCCTCCCGCCTCTTTCCTGCCTCTTTCTGTCTTGCCTGCGGGGGGCTGTGAAACTGTCGCCAGTTTCGAGGCCTGCTGGGGGGTCCAGCATAGAGGGTAATCGCGGCAGATCCAAATTAGACCTCGCCATTCCTGGGGGGCTGCGATCTGTGAAACTGTCGCCACTTTCGAGGCCTGCTGGGGGGCTCAGCATAGAGGGTAATCGCGGCAGATTCAAATTAGACCTCGCCATCCCTGGGGGGGGGGGGGCTGCGATCTGTGAAACTGTCGCCACTTTCGAGGCCTGCTGGGGGGTCCAGCATAGAGGGTAATCGCGGCAGATCCAAATTAGACCTCGCCCTCCCTGGGGGGCTGCGATCTGTGAAACTGTCGCCACTTTCGAGGCCTGCTGGGGGGCCCAGCACAGTGAGGGCCACGCGCGGATTCAAATTAGACCTCGCCATCCCTGGGGGGCTGCGATCTGCGAAACTGCCGCCATTTTCGAGGCCTGCTGGGGGGCCCAGCACAGTGAGGGCCACGGGCAGATTCAAATGAGACCTCGCCGTCCCTGCGGGGCTGCGATCTGTGAACCTGTCGCCACTTTCGAGGCCTGCTGTGATCCCCGTTTTCGAAGTGGCTAGGAGTGCTCAGGAATTGTAAATCATCAGCTTTATCAAGCCCTTTTCCTGTAGCCAGTGTCCTGCGAGTCTCCCGAATTCCGTCTGCAGACATATGTAACCCTCGCTCCGTCATCGCCCCCTTATAAAGTATCCTAAACTATTTGCGCCCCGCTTTTGCGCAGGGGTTGGGTACGTCGCCAGGGTAATTTTGGGGTATTTTTGGGCATCTTTTGAATATTTTGTGGAGCATTCTTCATTTTTCGTCCAAAATCCCCCTGTAGGGGGACAGGCCCGACCTAATGCCAGGTCCAGGATCGGTGCGCGTGCCTCCCTGCCCAAGCCAGGAGGGCCTTTGCGCCGCTCCTGGGCCCATGGTGGGCCTGGCCAGGATCGGTGTGGGTGCACAGCTGGCGTCCTCCTCGCCGTGGCCGCCGGCTCTTTTCAAACGTTGGCGCCACTGCGCGGCCCGCGCTCCTCCTCGCAGGCAGGCCCTTCACCCTCTGCCTCCTGGGCGCCACCATCCCCGCCTTGCAGTAAATAGCTGATTTTGGTTGTAGGGGGTCGTGCGCGCCCGTGCCGGCTCAACCCGCTGCCTGTGAGTCTCCCTCCTCCCCAGTGGCGACCAATCGACGTGCGGAGGGGCGAGAGCAGACGAGGCATTGGGCGAAGTCTTCCTCCTCCGTATTACTTATTACTCGAGGCTTACGCCATTCCGCCGCCCCCCTCGGAGGGAAGCTCGCGACGGTGGATTTGCACAATTTTGCCATTCGGGGGCTGCGGAGGGCGGCTGCTGGCCCATCATGGAGCTGGCTTTGTAAGAACTGGGACCGTCGTGGAGGCCTTCTTGGGCACCTCGGGCCGACAGTTTCCTTGGTGTCGTTTTGGCTCCTCTTTGAGCCTTTTTGGGGCGCGTTTGGGTTCTCGAATGGTGAGCCTTCTTTTTCCATATTTGCATTGCCCCGCACATTTGCCACTCAATGCGTGTTTGGGTGTATGGCCTGGGCATGTCTGTGTGTGTGTGTGTGTGTGTGACCGGAGATTGGGGCCTCTCTCGTGGCCCGTGCAGGGTCTTTGGGAGGCTCGCTGGGGCTCCATTTCGGGCTCCGTCTGGGGCTCTCTTGGGGCTCTCCTGGGGCCCCTTGGTAAGGGTGTGCTGGGAGGGTGTAAGGGAGTCTGGGGCTGGTCGTGCTGCGGTTTGGGGCCGCCTTGGAATAATTTGTGGGCCGCCTTGGAGACCAGCCAGAAGTCTCTGGAGGGAGGAGACTCACTACCCCTTCGGCGGACTGATTCTCCTCCTCCTGCTCCTCCTCCTCCTCCGCCCCAGACGCTCCAGCAGCAGCAGCAGCACTTCTTACCCCAAGCGCCGAACACGCGACAGGAGATGGGATGCCGCCGTGAAGAGAAGGGGTTCTGAGGGAAACGGGCCCGGGAGGCTTTTCGCAGTTTTCGGCCTCCAGGGGCCCTCTCCGGGCCCTGGTACCGTCAGCAAGACGAACCAGGATGAAAGGCCCGTCCTGGGGAAGGCCAGGGGGGTTCAGGGTTCAGGGTTCAGGACCCGTTTCCTCCAGGACCCTTCCCAGACTTCCGACGGACTGACTCTTGCGCTTGCGCCGCGCCGCCCCTCCCCCCCGGTGGGTCCATGGGCCGCAGAGGCTGTGGGTGGTCCCGCAGTGCGGGCCGTGGCCTAGGGTGTCGTTCCGGGTACGCGGCACAAAAGCATGCTGGGCCTTGGTGGGATGCCGTGGCTCCGAGGGGCAGTGTCCGATGATTTCGATGCCATGGGATGCGTGCCTGTGCCGGTGATCTCAAAGGCTGCGCAGAAGGAAGACAATGATAAGGGAGCATGCAGAAGGGGGAACCAGGCCAGCGGCGGCGGAGGAGAAGGAGGAGGAGGAGGGGGAGGAGGAGGAGGAGGAGCAGGAGGAGTTGGAGGGATGAAGAGGAGGAGGAGAAGGAGGAGACGGAGGAGGAGGAGGAGGAGGAGGAGGAGGGGAGGAGGAGGAGGAGGAGGAGGAGGAGGATGGAGGAGGAGGAGGAGGGTGGCGGAGGAGGAGAGGAGGACAACGAGGAGGAGGAGGAGGAGGTGGAGGTGGAGGCGGAGGAGGAGGAGGAGGAGGAGGAAGTGGCGGAGGAGGAGGAGAAGGAAGAGGAGGAGGAGGAGGAGAGGAGGCGGAGGGAGGAGGAGGAGGAGGAGGAGGAGGAGGGATGCGGGGGAGGAGGAGGAGGGAGGAGGAGGAGGAGGAGGAGGAGGAGAGGAGGAGGAGGAGGAGGAGGAGGAGGAGAAGGAAGAGGAGGAGGAGGAGGAGGAGGAGGAGGAGGAGGAGGAGGAGGAGGAGTAGGAGTAGGAGCACGTGGAGGAAGACGCATAGGGATGAAAGAGAGGATGATAAGGATAATGACAAGGATGAGGATGATGATGATGCTGCTGCTGCTTCTGATGATGATGATGATGATGCTGATCATGATGAGGATGTTGATGTTGATCATCATGATGCTGTTGTTGTTGCTGCTTATGATGATATGGTTGGTGAGTTTGATGTTTTTGATGATGGTGATGATGATGATGATTATGATGCTGATGATGAGGATGATGGTCTGGTGCTGCTGCTGTTGATGATGATGGTGATGCTGCTGATGATGCTGATGCTGCTGAGGATGATGATGATGACGCTGGTGATGATGACGATGATGATGGTGATGATGATGATGATGGTGGTGATGATGCTGGTTATGATTTTGATGCTGATGCTGCTGCTGATGATGATGCTGCTGCTGATGACGATGGTGATGATGCTGCTGATGCGGATGACGACGGTGATGATGATTATGATGATGATAATTATGATACTGCTGATGATGATGCTGCTGATGACGATGATGATTATGAACATGACGATGCTGGTGCTGCTGATGACGATGATGATGCTGATGATGCTGATGCTGATTCTGATCATGATGCTGATGCTGATGCTGTTGGTGATGATGCTGATGCTGATGCTGCTGCTGCTGCTGTTGCTGCTGATGATGCTGATGCTGATGCTGATGATGATGATGATGATGATGATGATGATGATGATGATGATGATGATGATGATGATGATGATGATGATGCTGATGATGAAGATGGTTGGTGATGCTGTGCTGCTGCTGAGTGATGAGTGAATGATGATGATGCTGATGAGATGATGAATCGATGATGATGATGCTGCTGATGATGATGATGCTGAGAAGATGATGATTGATGATGATGATGATGATGAGAGGATGTTGATTATGTGATGGGATGAGGATGATGACACCGATGAGGAGGCGGCGGGGAGGGGCGGAGAGGAGGCGGAGGAGGCAGGAGGAGGAGGAGGATGTGGCGAGGGGAGGGGTGTGGAGGAGGCGGAGGAGGTGGAGGAGGAGGATGATGGAGGAGGAGGAGGGCGTAGGAGGCGGAGGAGGAGGAAGGAGGAGGCGGAGGAGGAGGCGGCGGGTGGAGGAGGTGGAGAGGCGGAGGAGGGAGGAGGAGGAGGAGGAGGTGGAGGAGGAGGAGGAGGAGGGGAGGAGGAGGAGGAGCGCGGCAGGGGAGGAGGTAGGAGGAGGAGGCAGGAGGAGGAGGAGGAGGAGGAGGAAGAGGAGGAGGAGGGGAGGAGGTAGGAGGGAGGGAGGAGGAGGAGGAGGAGGAGGAGGAGGAGGGAGGAGGAGGAGGAGGGGAGGAGGAGGGGGAGGGGAGAGGAGGAGGAGGAGGAGAAGAATGCTTGGGAAAACGTGGGGTAGAAGGGGGTGGAGGAAGTGGAGGGGGATGATAACCACGAGGAGAATTGACGTCGGTTGCTGACTGTCTGTGGGGCCTCTTAGACGCTTCCCGGGGACCTTTGGGGCCTCTTTGGTTGCTGCTTGGGATCTATTGGGGCCTATTGGGAGCCTCTGTGAAGCCTCTTGAGTGCCTTCTTGGGGTCTGTTGTGGGCGTGCGTCTCGGGGACATCTTGGAGCCTCTTGGGGATACCTTGGAGGGAGAGGCTCCCAAGGCCTGTTCTGCTTCCCCGGTTCCCCCGCTTGGGCGGCTCGTCGGAGCCCTCCTGAGCGGTCCGAAGAACCTGTTGGGGCGGCGTTCTCGGGGGGTCTCTGGGTCCGTCGAGAGAGAGAGAGAGAGAGAGAGAGAGAGGGCGACGCACGTCGAGCCGTGAGTGCAGTCGAGGACAGGAGCACCGGCCAGCATCGGAAGCATACGGAGAAGGCACGCCGACCACGACCTCGTTGAGCGGGGGGTGGCTGAGCGACGGCGGCCCTGCAACGCGAAAGGACGACAGAAATAGAGAGAGAGAGAGAGAGAGAGAGAGAGAGAGAGAGAGAGAGAAAGAGAGAAAAAAAAAAAAGAAAGCGAGAGTCGGCGGCGCGCCCCTGGGGGAATGAGAAGGATCAGGCCTTCGCAGAAGGCGGCGGGGCTTTTCAGAAGCCCTCTGGCCTTACGATGAGATTTCTGCCTCTTCGGGGAAGGCTTGGGAATCTTCTCGGAAGGCTACAGGCCTTATGAGCCTTCTGAGACGGCCCGACCCTTCTCACTTCCCCCCCGTGCCCGCCGGGGAGAGAGGGAGAGAGAGAGGGGTGGTAGTGGGGGGTGACTTACATGGGGGGTGAAGGAAGGGCCCTCAAGGGGCCCTTTAGAGCAACTTTTGGGGGGGGCCCCGAAGGGCCCCTTTAGGGCCCTTTTCTCCAACCCCCCATGACACGCCAGTCGTTGAAAGTAGGTTTTCTGTGGTTCCCAGGCCCCAATCTACTTCAAGCGCCTTCCTACTTCAAGAGTTGATCTGTTTGTGTCGTGTCGTGTTGTTCTTCGGGCTGGCCCGGGTCCAATCTATTCCAGCCGCCTTCCGAATTCATGCTTCAACCTGCTTCTTCCGACTGGCGGGCACCACCCGCTCACGCAGACGCCCGACAGCGCCGCCGACGCCTCCCCGACGCGCGGCGGGGAGACGCCTCGTGCTCACGTCCTCTGCGGCCCGCGGGCGCGAGGCGCCGCCTCCCCCGGGGGGCGCGGTGCGCGGCCCAGGCCTCGGCGCGGGCCCAGCAGTCCAGGGGGCTCGGTCGGGGGCCCCTCCTCCTCCTTCCCCTTCTAGCCTCCCTCATATCCTTCCTCCTCCTCCTCCTCCTCCTCCTCCTCCTCCTCCTCCTCCTCCTCCTCCTCCTCCTGGCTGCTGAAGAGGGAGAGGACAGAGGCGGGCCAGCAGCATGGGCAGGGGGAGAGGAGCAGCACGGTGCTCACACGACAGAGGCGCCCGCGGCGCGGCGCGCGCCCGGGCGCCAGAGGGGCGCGCCCTGTCGACGGCTTGCGGCCTCTGGGCCACCGGGTGGGCGGGAGAGGCGGAGGGGGGGCGGAGGAAGGAGGGGGCGAGGCCGAGACCTGGGCTCCTCCTCCTCCTCCTCCTCCTCCTCCTTCTCCTCCTCCCCAGATCGACTCCCGAGGCCTGGGCTGCGCACGGCGCGCCCCCCGGAGGGAGCGGCGCCTCGCGCCCGCGGGCCGCAAAGAAGGTGAGCACGGGGCTCCTCCCCGCCGCGTGTCGGGGAGGCTTCGGCGGAGCTGTCGGTGTCTGCGCGGGCGGGTGGTAACCCAGACCTCCTCGAGCCATCACGGCGGAAGGCGTTTCGCCATTTTCGGCCTCTGCTCCGCCGTGTTTGCCGGGGGGAGTCCGCGGCGGCCGAGGTCGGGGCTCGAGGGGTGGGGGTGAGTGCGAACGGGGGTCAGCCAGGGCGCAGGATCTTGCAGGATCTTGCAAAACCAGGGTTGCACTCACTCGTGCTTGCGCGCAGGGTCCTGCATGATCCCGCAGGATCATGATGAGCCCGACTGACCCAGATTTGGATTGACCCCGGCCAGTGTGTCCCCGACGAGGGACCGTTGCGCCGCTTCCGCGCTGGATGATGGGCCTGTTTTCAACCACCACCACCATCAGTTGGTGGAGGAGGGAAGGAGGTGGACGATGAGGAGCAGGAGGAGGAAGAAGAAGAGGAGGAGGACCTCCTCCCCTTCCTACTAATGGTGGTGGCCGTGGTAAACAAGCCCACCACTGGAGGCCGACTCCGAGGACGATTTCCTCCGCAGGTGCCAGGCTGCCGTGTCGGAGCGGGCCGTCGAGGGGGGCGCCGCCCTCTGGGCGGAGGCGCCCCTCTGCGCGTACGGAGCGGCAGATGTCACCCCCTCCTCCTCCTCCTCCTCCTCCTCCTTCTTCTTCTCCTCCTCCTGCTCCTCATCCTCCTCCTCCTCCTCATCCTCCTCCTCCTCATCCTCCTCCTTCTCTCCTCCTCCCCCCTCCTTCTCCTCCTGCTCCTTCTCCTCCTCCTTCTCCTGCTCCTCCTCCTCCTTCTTTCCTCCTCGTCCGCCTCCTTTTTGACGTTGCGCGAGCTCAAGCCAGTGCGCTGTAGCGTTCGGTGGGGCGAAGCAATTCGCGTGAAGATGCCGACTTCGGCCTAGAGGCCAACCAAGCGCAGCGGATACATATGGGGTATGGAGGTCAGGGTAAAGATGCCAGCCCGAAAGGGTACAGAGCATACGCCTGCCAGACAATCATATGAGGGAGGGGAGAGGCCATCCAATACTTCTCCTCTGAATCGTAACGTGCCAAGAAGGGGCGGAAATAACAATGTAACGAGAGGAATCAACATACACTTGCACAGGAGCCTGGGGCCGTGGCGTATGACAGATGGCATCGCCACACCGGAAAGCAACGCAGATTTGACCTCACCCCCTTCCGTATAAGATCCTCCCCCGAACGTCGCCCATAGTCGATCATGCCAATCATAACAAAGTGCGTATGCACTGAGACACAGGGAACACATAGAGCAGGCGACGTCGCTAGAGGTAAACTGTTGGGTGAACTCTGTGTGTACAAATGAGTGCGTTGCTGTCGGTAGTCCACAGAGGGACTGGTCCCAGGGGCTCGTCCCCTACCGACGTGCCAACAGTATCACAGTCATGAATAGTGTGGCTCCTTGGGGTGTAGGGTCCCTGAGCAGGGAGTGCCTGTACACAGAGACCCAAGGTAGGGTGCCGCCTTCTTCCTCCCCACCGCCTCACGACCCTTGGCACCAACTCCACTCCACCCGATCATCGGTGGAAAGAGGCTGGAGCATGCGTAGTGGCTGGGCTGAGCTGTGGCGAGTATTGAGCTGTGCTGAACTATGCTGGGGCAGCGTGCTGAGAGGCTGGCGCAAGTGAACTGGCTGGCCTAAGCTTGCGGCGGTGCTGGGAGTGTAATCTAGCAGCTGGCAGTGCTGTGAGTATCGAGGCTGGCACAGAACGGTATTGGCTGGCCTTCCTCCTACTCCTCCACCTCCTCCTCCCCCTCCTCTTTCTTACCTTACCGCCTGCATTGTATGTAATTCGTCGTTGGCCCACGGAGGCAGTTTCTCTTCTCCTCAGTCCGTGAGTGTTCCCATGGTTGCGTTCGCTTTTGCTATCGCTCTTGCCCAGCTCTTGCCACCGCCACCGTGGATCGTCTTACAGCCGCGGCATCGTATCTGGGTCGGGTCGGCCAGACCCTTTGCCGTCCTTGGGGCCAGTGTTCTCTTCCTCCTCCTCCTCCGCCTCTTCATCCTCCTCCTCCCCCTCCTCCTCCCCCTCCCCGTCCTCCTCCTCCTCCTCCTCCTCCTCCTCCTTCTCCTCCCTCTTCCCCCCTCCTCCTCGCCGCCTCAGAGGCCTCGCGAATGAGTGTGCTGCAGGTTCGTGTCGTGCCGACGCCGCGGCCACCCCGCCGCGGGCGTTCAAAGTGGAACGACGCCACTGTCACGACGCCCAGGCCCTCCAGCCCCAGCAGCAGGGGAGGCGCGTGACCGAAGAGTGCCCATCGGTCGTTGAAAGTAGGTAGTTTTGGAGTTCCAGATTCCAATCTACTTCAAGCGCCGTCCTGCTTCAATGATCGAGTGGCGTCACCTTTTCCGTCCTCTTTAGAGGGCGGGCGGACACCCAACCTAATTTCAACGCCTTCCTACTTCATGTTTCTACCTACTTCTTCCGACCGATGGGCAGCGGTGACCCAACACGTGCCCGACATGGTGACGGAACGCGCAGTGTGACCCAACGTGGGACCGACAAGTAGCACCGTGTTGGTTTCGAACCAATCGATTCGGTCACTCTCGGGCGCTTTGAGACAAGTTCGGGCGCCAGTTTCGGCCGCGCTCGGGCAGATTTTCGGGCACAGTTTCGGTTACTATATCCCCCTGATAGAGACGAGGCTGCGTGGCCATTGGCACAGACTCGTCCAATGTGGAACGAACTGGCGATCGAAGAGCTGTCGATCGGTCAAGGTTGAACGGTTCACGCGGTGCCAGGCACCAACGCCAGGGTCACGACACGAACCTGGCGCGTGGAAGGGATGGGCCACCTCATAGACCTCGCGAAGGAGTGCAGTGAGGTCCCCTCGAAGATGCGAGGCTGGGTCTTACCGCGCATCTTGAGCGGGAGGTCACTCGAACCAAGTCGTTTTGAGAGCCCGGCCGGGTCGGAGTTTGGGACAGCCTTAAGTCTCCAGGCTCAGGTTGTTGGCGGCGTCAGGACGATACTCGATGCCATCGATCGCTGCTCTCCCTCTCGTCCTCGTGAGGAGGAGGAGGGGGCAACACAAGTAAAGGCATTACGCCAAGACGCTGGAATTACATCCTCTTGTTGTTCTTCATGGGCTCTGGTTTTCGGGCCGTCCCTCGGATCCAGGTTGGGCAGCCTACTCGTGGCCGCGAGGCTCATCGTGGCCAGCAGCGCCCCTCGTTCCTTGTTCTCAAGGGCTCCCTCGAGGGCGCGAAGTTATTCGCGCTTCGCGCTTCGCGGTCCTCGTTCCTTCTCCCCCTCCTCCTCGTCCTCCTATTCTCCCTTTGGGAGGGCGGCGCGAGAGCGCGAAGTTATTCGCGCTTCGCGCTTCGCGCAGCGCGAAGCGCGAAGTTGGGAGCCCTAGGTTCTGCGCTCCCCATGGTGGCACGGTGACTGTACCTTGGCAGCCGCTCCCTTCTGGGGCAACGTCGGGGGGGGGGATAGGCTCAGGGGGGACGCGTCGTCCCCCAATCGCCCATTCATCGCCCATACGGGCCTGGGCCCACCCCACCCGGGAGCGTGTGGTTTCGCTACGGGGAGCCTATCACCGATGTCGTCGATGTACCGCCGATTGCGGCTCGGTGTTTCTCCCCTGAGCTGGTCCCCCCTATCGTTGCCCCTCAGTGTGGTCCGCTGTTCGTCGTCGTGTCGGCCGTCGGTCGTGGTGACCGTTGGTCGTCGTCGTCCTCGGCTAGCTGGTCAGGCTGCTATCCTGTCGGTCGTCTTCGTCTGTCGTCGTCGTCGTCTTCGGGCGTCGATCGTTGATGTCGTCGGTCGTCGTTGTCCGTCGTGTCGCGAGGTGGCCCCCCCCTAACCTTGCCCGGCATCCCTGAGCGGCACGGTCTCTCGGCGCGCGCAGCCCTCCGCCCCGCCCCGCGGCGGCGCGCAGGGCGGGGGTGGGGCCGGGGGACGCGGTCGGCGTGGCAGCGCCGCCGAGGTGCCCGAGGCAGTCCTCAGTTGAGCGGGGGAAGAAAATGGGGTCGTCTGCGCCGACATTCGCGCGTAAGCTCCCCGCGTAAGGTCGCGCGTGCGCGCCCTCGTTGCCAAAGTAGAGCGTTGCGCTGGCGGCCTGCGTAGGCCGTCGCGTAAGGTCGCTACGTCATCTCGGGCAAGACCCGTTCTTGATCGTCGCTCAACTCCTTTTCCTTATACCAATGCCTCCCTGTCGCACCCCGAGGGCCGGCCGGGCGTTTCGCCCGAGACTTCCTCACCATTCATGACCGCATTCATGACCCGGAAGCTTAAATCTGGCAACAGTTGCACAGATGGAGAGCGGGTCGTTTTCAAAATGTGGCTCTCGCCTTAGCTCCGCGCACATTCGTCGTTTGAAACATTCGCAAGAGTTTCAGGGATTGAGGGCGGGTCGTTTTCAAAATGTGGCTCTCGCGTTAGCGCCGCGCACATTCGTGTTAAACAGTTGCCAGGGTCTCGCGGATTCCACTGGTCAACGTACCAGAAAGTGTGCTATGGAAGGACTCGGGATTGTCATGACACCCAGCATCTATCTCCCGAAACGGTAGGTGACCGAAAACCAATTGAGACCGAAAACGTGCCCAAAGTTGTGACCGAAGAAGTGCGTTGACCGAAATTGTGACCGACATTGAACTCGTCTTGGTTTCGAAACGAATATTCCTGTCACACTGGGGCGCGGCCGGAAAACTTCGGGCGCCAGTTTCGGTCACAATCGTGTTGATTTTGGGGCATAGTTTCGGTCACGACGCCTCCCTGATAGAGACGAGGCTCCGCGAGGTTTGAGGGTGCAACAGTTACGTTGATTCGCAGTGTTGAAGTCCCAGGAACGGTGTTTTGGCACGATTCTGGATCGTCAAGACGCAGCAGTCAGGTTGATCCGTGGCGTTGGAGTCCTGAGAATCGTGTTTTGGCATGCTTCAGGGTCTTCGAACCCTTGTCTCCCAACGAGGCAGTTCCGTCAGTGGAGATGAACCCTTGTGGGGGTCTGTGAAAAGGGAGTTTGGAGGGAGGGTTTCTTCCAACACCGTTGATGAGCCTTGGGTTTGCATTGGTTATCCTCCTCTTCTCCTCCTCCCGTTCGCCTCGCTCTTACAGACGGCGCGCTTCACTCTCTCAAGTGCGTTGTGATAGCCTACCCTTTCTACCGCATGCTGCAGGCCAACATGGCGAGGGGCACACGCACACGTAACGTGCTCGGCGGTCATCCTGAAACGGCTCGCGCTGCCCGAATTGCGGCTGAGCTCACTTTGCGCTACGGCACGGCCGTTCGGCAATAGAATGACGCTGGGATGAGTTCTTGTTCGACGCCCTGCCTCCTCCTCCTCGCTCACCTCCTCCGCTTTCGCCTCCGCCTTCCTTTTTCCGTATCTCTCTATAGCTATATTTGTGTATATAAATATATACGAAAACCTATATGTCTATATCTATGTATGTAGTGGCTCCTCTTTGCCGCGCTTCCAGATGTGTCGTTAGGGCGGGCGGGGCGTTTTGCCTGAGCCGTCATCGCCACTGATGGTCCTGAAGTCTCACGCGTGCAGCCGCAGCTCGGACGGAGCGGGGCGCCCTGGCTCCGCGCGCGTGCCTCTCCACATGTAGCAGCAGCTGCAAGGATTGAGGGCGGCTGGTTTTCAAGATTGGCCTCTCTCCTTCTCTCAGCGCCGCGCACAATTGTCCAAACTTGCAACGGTTACATCTACAGAGAGCGGTTGGTTATCATAATGTGGCTCTCGCTTCAGCGTCGCACGCATTCGCTTTGATCGCTTGCAACAGTTACACGGACTTAGGGCGGTTGGTTTTCAAAATGGAGTTGTCGGTTTAGAAGCGCGCATATTCGTTTCAATCTCTTGCAACATATACGTTGGTGGATGCTGGTTTGTCTAAATACAGGGTTCTCATATATGCTTTCGTTGCTGCTTTGTTTATTTCAGTGGTTCAGTTGTTCGGACGGAGGGCGGCTCCATTTCAAACGTGGGACTCTGGCTGGATGTTTCCCCACACGGTGGCCAGAAGCTGGCAAATATATGACAGCTGCTCGGATGGAGGGCGGTTCCTTTTCACCATGCGGCTCTCGCTGGAAATATCCGCAAAATGAATGGCCAGCAGTGCTAACTTATTAAGAACTGCATGGATGGGGGGTTCAGCGCCGACCCAAGAAATCCGCGCGGACTTCCGAAAGTTCATGTTTACGCCGTTTTTCGTTCCTGTAGTTTTGGGCTCTCGGGTTTGTCTCGAGATCCCTCGAGGACCCTGAAGTGAGAGCACTGGCCGCAACGTGGGCGGTGGGCCTGGGAAGGAAACTGAGACTGTCGCGAGACCTGCTTCTCGCGGCCGCTTATGCAGTCCCGTTGCCCAGCTGGCACGTCCACTACTCTGCAGACGAGAGGCACCCTGCTCTTGTGCCCGGGGGCGCCCTGGTCAAGGTTGGCTGCGTGCAGCAGGCCCTGTGGCACGTTGACTTCTCTTTCCCAGGCTCGGCGCGGAGATGTACGCCGCTGCGTGCACGGCCTCACGTCTCCTGCGAGCCGTCGGCTGCGAGGCCACGACGTGGGTGGGGGCTTCTGGACTCTGGGACATCGCACCGAAGGTTAGTCGACTTGCTACTGCGCTCGTTTTTGGCTAGCCGTGCTAGCACGGACGTCAGCGCCAAGATGTGACAGACAACAGAGGAAGTGCACGGCCTCTGGGGCACACAGGTGCTGTTGCTGCTGCTGCTGCTGCTGCTGCTGCTGCTGCTGCTGCTGCTGCTGCTGCGGATCGCCTCTCTGCCAGTTCCGCCTCTCGACCCCCGCGATTGTCACCCCCCGCAGCCCCTCCTCTCCTCCCCCCTCCTGGGGACGGGCAGATTCCAAACCCGTCGCCTCGCGCTCCCACGCTTCCCAGCAGGCGCCCGCCTCCCCGCGCGCATCCCCGTCGCCTTCGCCGGCTTCCTCGACGCTGCTGCAGAGACGGTCGCCAGCGCTAGGCTCTCGGGCGGGAGACATGACGCGTAAATTGCCAGGAAGGTCGCACGCTGCTGGTTCCCTCCTGCTACTCCTCCTCCTCTTCCTGTTTCCCCTCTTCCTTTGCTGTCTTCCGCATTCCTCCTTCCTTCTTCGTCCATCCCCCCGCTCTCGCTTTCTGACGTCTTTGTTTCTGCCTCATCCTCCCTCGCTCCTACTTTCTCTTCCTCCCCCACCTGGAGACAGACTGCGGGTGGGGTAATGGCGAGGACAAGTCGGCCACGACTTGAATAGGGAGGAGGAGGATGATGAGGAGGAGGAAGAGGAGGGGGATGAGGACGGTGAGCAGCAGGGACAGGAGGAGAAGGGGAAGCAGGAGGAGGAGGAGGAGGAGGAGGAGGAGGAGGGCGCAGAGGAGGTCGAGGAGGACCTGGCATCATCGACCGGACAATCACTGTCACATGTAGTTCCCCCTCGACCGCTTGCCTGGGCAATTTTTGTCACGGTCAGCCCCTTTTGCTGGCTTCCTTCTAGGGGGTAGGATTTGTCCGCCCAGGCCAGCGCTTAAACAGCAAACAGCAGCAGACTCGCGGCGGCATCATTGCAGCCTCGCGGTTGTGGATGGACAGGGGACATGAGGAGGGCCAGGCATCATGACCGTGACCCGGCCGTGCCTGCACTCTCGGTGCACTGGCGTCTGAGCAGTCTTCTGGCCGACGAGCGGACGATCGCAGGAAAGGCTGCGGCCGCCCATACTGCCTCAACAGCACGCAGCACGCCCTTTCGCCCCTCGAGACCTCCGGAGGAGCGAATGTCTCGGATCGCAGTTGCGCCGATCATTGGGAAACCTCACTTAGGTGACCTGGTCCAACGTTCTTTCGGCATCTCTCTGAGCAGCTGGCGCCCAGTTGTTGTCCCCCTGCGCGCGCACCGGGATGGCGCGGGGGGTCGCACAGGCAGGGCTGGCCAGGCGCCTGCCGTCAGATTTTATACCAGGAAGCTGGCCCAGGCTTCATCGGCGAGGTGCTTGCCGATCGCAGTCCTGCCTGTGTTTGGGAGTGGGCGCCGTCCGGAATTTGAGCCGATTGAACAATTTTCAAAACGGATGCCGAGGTCGGCGTTTTTGGGGGAGCGCGCCGATTTCGGCCAGACCTGCGCGCTCCTGTGGGCCCTGGAGGGGGCCCCAAACTCTTGTGTTCCCCGGTCTCGCCTCTGCGAGCAGCGCCGACTGCGAGCACTTCGGCCCGCGCGCATGTGCTGCTGTCGGGGGCTTCTGCTCCGCGTGTCGCGGCGGCGGCCCCTACGACGCGCTACGCACACACACACGCACACACGCACACGCACACACACACACACGCACACGCACACACACACACACGCACACGCACATTCACACAGTTACACATCCACATTTCCACGCACCCACACGCACACACGCACACACGCACACACGCACGCACGCACGCACGCACACGCGCACACACGCACACACGCACACACGCACACACGCACACACGCACGAAACGTCGACGCTCGGGGACTGGGACGTGCTCAGCGTGTCGCGCCGAAGCGTGGTGGCCCAGAACGGGCGGCGCGACACGCCGAGCAAACGTTCGTCATGCACGCGCTAGATGGAACGATCCAAAGGTGGAGCTCTGCTGTCGGCCAGGTCACCCGCAGGGGCGCGAGGCTGACCGCGCGTCGCGCTTCGCGCTTCGCGGTCTGGGCTGGAGTTAGGTGTCCTTCGCCAGGGGGCTGGTGATCGGCTGCTCAACGGCTCGTGATCTCAGCAGCGCAGAGGACGCGCCAGGGCCTGGCTTCCTGCGGAGGGCGCTCAGATCGTCTGGCGCATGCGCCAGTTGCCACATCGCCAGCCCCTGACATCCGACACGCCGAGAAAGAGCGAGAGAGAGAGAGATATATATATATATATATATATATATATAGAGAGAGATAGAGATAGAGAGAGAGAGAGAGAGAGAGAGAGAAAAAAAACACGGCCCGAGCTCCCGACCCCGTCCGACGCGTGAGGCCTCTCGAGCCTGGTCGGTCTGCGAGGGCGTCCCGGGCCACGAAGCCGGGCCACGAAGCGGGCCCCAACGGGCCCGACGCCGGGCAAGGGCGCTTTGGTAAAGCACGCGCGCGCACAGACTTTTCTCCTGCGCGCCAGATGCTCTAGCCAGTGAGAGCACAACTCGGGGTCCCCCTCCGGGGGAATTCGCCTCCTTATGGCGCAGCGTGGAAGACCTGTGCGCCCCTGAGAGACCACGCGTAGGCGCTGGCAGGGCAGAGCAACCGGGTGGTGCTGCGCGCACGCACACACACACACGCACACACGCAAACACACACACACATCCATACACCGACACACCCACACACCCACACACCCACACATCCACACACCCACACACCCACACACCCACACACCCACACACCCGCACACCGGCACACCCACGCACACGCACCCCACTCACACTCCTTGCACAACACCGACGCACCCAACGCACCGCCACGCACACGCGCCGGACACGCCACGCCCACGAACAACGCAACAACGCACACGCACACAACACACACACACACGCACAGCGCACAACCACAACGCACGCACGTCACGCACACATGCACACACTCACACACAGCCACCACCACAACCACACCACACCCACACATAACATACACACACTCACACACACAACCACGCACACACACCACACGTACTCACACACTCACACGCACACGCCACGTCAGACACACACACACACACACACGCACCCGCACACGCACGTACACATACGCACACACACACACGCACACTTACCAACACCCCACACACGCACACACTCCACCACCACAACGCACACACGCACTCACGCATACCCCACACACGCACACGCCCACATTCCCACCCGCACATACTCACACGCACACAATGTTTACGCACACACACACTCAACACGCACACATCACACTACACAACTGCACACGCACATTCACAAAGTTACACATCCCACATTTCCACGCACCCACACGCACATACTCACACCCGCACACACCGCACGCACGCAACGCCACGCCAACGGCCTCACACCCCAAAACTACACAGCACACGCGCACACGGCACAGACCCGCACACACACACACACCCCGCACACCCACACACACCCCCGCCACACTCTCACTCACGCGCACACGCACACACAACTACAAACACTGCACACGCACATTCACATGCAACACTCCACGCACACGCTCCCCGCACCGCGAATGCGCACGCGCACACACGTACGCACACGCACCACCCATACGCACACACACACCACCAAACACACAACGCACCCGCACACACACGCGCACACAAACCAACCAAAAAAAACCCCCCACAAAAAACCCCCCCCCCCCCCAAAAGAAACGGCCCCCCCCCCCCACCGCACGCACAAACGCGCACACACGCACACGCACGCGCACACACGCGCACACACGCGCCTACACGAGCACACATGTGCACTCACACGCAAACACGAGCACACACACACACGCACACACACATACACACACACACACGCACACACACGCTCACACACACACACACACCGCACACACACCACACACACACACGCACACCACACACACACCACACACAGACAGACACACACACACACACTTACACGCCAGAGCACTGGGCACGTCTTCCTCGCGATGCCCGGGCGCGAGGGCCATCGCTCCGTCGGCAGTGCCATCGTCCATAGTGGCGCTCCGCGGCCTTCTCTTTGCTGCTGGCTCCGCGCGGAGGCAAAACCAAGGGGCCTGGAGCGTCCATCGGCAGGGTGCCCTACGACGTCCTGGCTCCGGAGCAAGAGTTCGAGCGGGTCGCCTCTTGTTTTTGCTTTCCTGGAGGGGATGTGATTTGCTGGCCTTTTTGGTACTTGTAGGAGGAGGGGGAGGAAGAGGTGGCTGGGGATGATGATGATGATGATGATGATGATGATGATGATGATGATGCCGATGAAAATGATGATGCTGATGTTGATGACGATGACGAGGATGCTGATGCTGATGCTAATGATGATGAGGATGCTGATCCTGATGCTGATGCTGATGGTGATGCTGATGATGAAGATGATGCTGCTGCTTATGATGATGATGATGATGATGATGATGATGATGATGATGATGATGACATGATGATGATGATGATGATGATGATGATGATGATGATGATGATGATGATGATGATGATGATGATGATGATGATGATGATGATGATGATGTTAAGGATGATAATGATGATTGTGACGACTATGATGATGACGATGATGATGAAATGGCGGAGGAGCTAGAGGAGGCGGATGAGTGTAGTACTGACGATGGGGGTGGGGAGAGGAATTTGTTCTTCAATACACTAGGGCTCTGAGGGTGGTGGTGGTGATAATGGTTGTGCTGGTGGATATGGTGGTGAACGTGATGAAGATAGTGATGATGATGGTGATGATGATGATGTTGATGCTGATGATGATGGTTATGCTGATGACGACGATGATGATGCTGATGATGATGATGATGATGATGGTGGTGGCGATGCTGATGCTGTTGATGATGCCAATAGTGATAAGTACGATGCTGATGATGATGCTGACGGTGGTACTGATGATGCTGATGCTGATGATGCTGAGGATGGTCCTGCTGCTAGTGACAATGATGCTGGCGATGCTGATGATGACGATGTTGATAATATTGATACTGCCGATGATGACAGTGCTGAGGACGATGCTGCGGATGATGATGGTAATGATTCTGAGTATGCCTATGATTATGCTGGGTATGATGTTGCTGATGATGGTGATGATCATGATTCTGCTGATGACATTATGAGGATGATGCGGGTGATGCAGAGACAGAGGAAGACACTGTTGATGATGGCGATGATGATGCTGGTGGTGGTGGTGGTGGTGATGCCGACGACGATGATGATGATGGTGATGATGATGATGCTGATGGTAATGACGAGGGTGATGAAGGTGATGGGGATAGTGACGTGGAAGAGGAAGGCGATGAATACGACTGTGATGATGAGAGGGACATGGCCGTAGAGGTTTCAGGGGGCTCGCGTCGGTTCCAGGGAGGTTTTGGGCGTCTAGGGCTGTGCAGCTATAGAAGGCCTTGAGGTTTCGAACATGAGGAGGAGGGGGACGAGGATGATGATGATGATGATGATGATGATGATGAGGAGGAGGAGGAGGAGGAGGAGGAGGAGGAGGAGGAGGAGGACCAGTGTAAGCTCAAGGCGCATCAACAATGTTGACTAAGCCCTTCCTCCAAGTTCCTACAATATTTTATTTTCATTGCCAGAAGTGGCCCGTCGGAAGACAACCGTCAGAGAAGCCTCATTCGCGCAATAACACCGTTCCTGTGACTCCAGCGCCGCGAATCAATGGGGTTGATACGTCTTGACAATCCTGAATCGTGCCAGAACGCCCTTCGTGTGACCTCAACTACGCGAACCAACGTGAGCGTTGAGTCCCAAAAGGCTTCATTCGTGCCAGAACACTATTCCTTGGGATTCAGCCCTACGATTCCGTGAAACGGTTGTAGCTTTTAAGACCACTGTGCGCGGCGCGGAGGCGAGAGCAACATTTTGAAAACCACCCGCTCTCCATCCTTGAAATTATTGCAAACTCAGCGCGGGGGCGAGAACCACATTTCGAAAAACACCCGCCGTCCACCTCTGAAACTGTCGTATATTTTTAGCACGAATGCGCGTGGCGCTAAGGCGAGAGCAACAAGTTGAAAACCACCCGCCCTCCACCCTTGAAACTATTGTGATTTTCATCCCACGGATCATACATTATGAGGAAGGCTCGGGCGAAACGCCCGGTCAACCCTACCGACACGTCGGGGGATGCGACAGGCAGGATTTATTCGTAAGGAAAAGGGACAAAGGAGAAGCCGTAGAAGGAGGACGGGGATGAGCAGGGAGGACCAGAGTCAACCCAGGATGCAGAAAGGATGCAACGATCCACCATTCCGTCCCAAGTTCCCTCGTCATTATAGTATATATATATACATATATATATATATAGTTGCTGGAAAATGCGCGGGCCCAGGGCTCTCTTTTAGCTGTCTACCCCCGGAATCGACGGGCGCAGGGCCGACGGAATTATTCTGTGATCAATACCGAGGTCGCGTAGGGCCGGCGGAACTGAAGTGTGAGGTGTCCCTCGTGAAACGCTTGTATTGCATAATGTGATGAGGATGTCTCAAGCAAAACGTTTGTTTTGTGCTATAGATCGTTCTTCTCCTGGGGGCCAGAATCCAGAGGATGTCTCAGGTGAATACTTGTTTTCACGTGCCCAGGTCTTGAGGATGTCTCGAGCGAGACGCTTCGAGGATGCCTCGAGCGAAACGCCTGTTTTGCAGAACTCGGCCTGGGCGCCCCAGGATGCCCAGGTAGTTCTGGGAGCCCGAACACAACGTAATTTACTAAGGAACATGGCCCTGGGAGCGCGGACGCAGCGTAATTCACGAGGGAGCGCAGCCCTGGGAGCGCGGACGCAGCGTAGTTTACGAGGGACCGTGGCCCAGGGAGAGCGGACGCAGTGCAATTACGAGGGATCGTGGCCCTGGTAGCGCGGATGCAGCATGATTTATGGTGGATCGTGGCCCTGGGAGCGCGGACGCAGCGGAATTTAGAATACATCGTGGCCCTGGGAGCGCGGACGAAGCGTAGTTTACGAGGGATCGTGGCCCTGGGGGGGTGGACACCGTGTAATGTACTAGGGAACGTGGCCCTGGGAGCGCGGATGCAGCATACTTCACTAGGGAGCGCGGGAGCGCGGACGCAGCGTAGTTTAGCAGGGATCGTGGCCCAGGCAGAGCGGACGCAGTATAATTTAGGGTGGATCGTGACCCTGGGAGCGCGGATGCAGCATACTTCACCAGGGATCGCGGCCCTGGGAGCGCGGACGCAGTGTAATTTACAAGAGATCCTGGCCCTGGGGGGGCGGACGCAGTGTAATTTTATTAGGGAGCGTGGCCCTGGGAGCGCAGACACAACGTAATTCACAAAGGAGCGCGGCCCTGGGAGCACGAACGCAGCGTAGTTTGCGAGGGTTCGTGGCCCAGGGAGAGCGGACAAAACGTAATTCTTCACGCTTCGCGTATCCCCACCAGCCCATCTCAAAACAGCAACTCTAGCAAAGCATGCCGACAGTCGTGTTTTTCAGGCGTGTTTCCGCCTGCCCCCGCATATCTCCCCTGTTCCTCCTTCCTCCCGCCTCCTTGTACATCCTCCTTGTGGTGGGAGCGGGAGAAGGACGAGGCGGAGGAGGAGGGAGAGAAAGCGCTCCTCGTGGTTTGAGTCGTTCGGGTTTCTCGTCCTGGTGTGAGTCGTTCGGGCCCTTCTTCCTGGTGTGAGTCGTTCGGGCTCTTCGTGGTGTGAGTCGTTCGGGCTCTTCGTCCTGGTGTGAGTCGTTCGGGCTTCTCGTGGTGTGAGTTGTTCGGGCCCCTCGTCCTGGTGTGAGTCGTTCGGGCCCCTCCTCCTGCCCGTCCAGAAACGACGCCCAGGCGAGTAGAGGGTCGTCCTGATGGGCTTTTCGGCGTCTTGGGTGCCTCGGGGGGGCCTCTTTGGGTCGTTTGGGATCCTCTTGGGGGCCTCCTGGGGGCCTCTGGGGGCCATCTTGGGGCCTCTTGGTGCCTCCTGGGCGCTTCTTGGGGCCATCTTGGAGGAAATCGATCAAAGAAGAGGGGAGCTTTAATTAGCGCTGCCCCCTCAGAAGGCCAAAATGGGGCCAAAACCTAAGTAACATCAATGATTTTGGCTTGAAAGAAGAGGGGAGCTTTAATTAGCGCTGCCCCCTCAGAAGGCCAAAATGGGGCCAAAACCGTAGTAAAATCAATTATTTTGGCTTCAAAGAAGAGGGCAACACTTTTCTGCCTCCCCCCGTCGGGGCCAGAATCCTCGTGAGGGGTGTCGTTTTTTAGCCCTCCCAGAAGTCGAAAAAGACCCCTCCAACGACCCGCGGGGCGCCCTCTCCAGGCCCAGGGGGAGGGGGTGGGGGGAGGGGTAAACCCCTCCCCGAAGGGGAAGAAGGGGGGTTGAGAACAGAGAGAGCTCTCTAAACCACTCACGCCCAAAGGGCTGGTGGGATTTACGGGGGATCGTGGCCCTGGGAGCGCGGGCGCAGCATAATTTACCTATACGACCACCCTGCGGGCGATAAGGAGTTTTGGGGGGGGGCCGGCAATGGGCAACAGTGGTGACTGTTGTTCTGACGATGCCTGTGGTGCGCAGTCTAGTGAGTAGTGTGATTGTGATCGTGAGCGTGATGTGATGTGGCGATGTTGACGAAGCGCACTCGACATTGCCGTGGTCGAGCGTGCGTGCTGCGGTGCCACACTGACTGCTGCTGGCGCCTCCCGGTACCACTCGATTTGCTTTTCGATCTGCATCTCTATTTGCATGCCGACTTGCATTGGAAAGCTCGCCGCAGGCGCCGATTTTTTAAATACGCAACCCACGGCGCCTTACGATTTACATTTGGATGTGCATGTCGATTTGCATTTCGATGTGCTTTTCGGTTTGCATGTCGGTTTGCATGTAGACTTGCATTGGATAGCTCGTCACAGCCACGGCGGGACACCAGCGGGACACCAGCGGGACACCGCGGGGCACCGTTTGCTGGGTGGAGAGACTTTTGGTCCGGCCGCGGCCCAGCAACAGGATGATTTCTGGACACACCAGCGGGACACCAGCGGGACACCGCAGGCAACCGTTTGCCGGTGGAGAGACTTTGGATCCGGACGCGGCCCAGCCACAGGAGGATTTCGGGACACCAGCGGGACACCAGCGGGACACCGCGGGCCACCGTTT